GGGGGGGAGGGGGGAGGGAAAGTTAAAGAAAGAAAATGGAAGTTTTTGTCAAAGGAAGTGTTGTTTCAGGCACTGGTGTCCTCTGTGGGATTGTGTCAATGGAGGAAAACCAAAGTACCAGAGTTGTGCTGTCAGTTTTCAGTGACTGGAAATTCAAACAAGTTTGTATGCTGGGAAAATGACTCCAGTTTCCCCTGAATGAGGCACGTTAGCCCTGCATGTTCTCTGGCACGACAGGAACACTGTGCTGCCTGCTGCAGGCTCACAGCATCTTGCCCAGCACGTCCCTTCACCACTGCTGCAGGTGCAGGTCCATGCTGGAGTTCAGGTTGAGGTCGGCAACATCCAGGAAATCGATGTTGAAGATGCTGGGGCCCGCGGGGGTGAGCGAGCTGAAGCCGGTGGCCGAGCTGGGGGGGGTGAGGTCCAGCCACTCCATTGTTTCCCACGGAGACTCAGTGAAACTCATTTGTAAACCGGAGCCTTCGGCAGGGGAAGGGGACAGCTGGGTTTCCATGGGCGACAGGGGAGTCTGTAAAATCTCCTGGGAGTTGAGCAGTTCATCCGCGGCTTTGCCGGAGAACCCCTCCATCATCCCTTCGAAGTGGGGCTCCTCTCCCCCCATCTTCAGCAGGGCCATCTCGCTGACCCTGCCCAGGGGGCTGTGGGCATTGAGCAGCACCTCCAGGTGCGCGTCGCTGCTGCCCGGGCAGTGCTCGAAGGGCAGAGGCGCCGAGGACACCGGCTCGAACGGGGCGGAGCCCTTGGCGACAGAGGCACCGGAGCTCCCTGTAGACACCATGATCTGAGGTACTTTCTGGAGGCACGACCGATCTTCCTTGGCATTGGCCGGAATTTCTGTCAACAAATGAGAGGGATTTGAGGTGCTCTGGCAGTGCCCACCACCACAGCCCTCCAGCTGATCTCTTGGGCATCCCTGTGGAGACTTGCTCTCCACTCAGTCCCATTGGCACTGTTTGCCCATCCTCCCTGCGGGAAGCCTTGCAGTCCTGCTTTCTGACCTTGATCCCCCGGGTTTGGACACAGTCCCTAGGGCACAAGCACTGGCAGCTGTCCCCAAGGGGGTGGGGAAGGGCACATGCAGCACTTTGCACAGGAGAGGACACCAGAAGTGCTCTGTGTGGGAGATGGCACTGGCAGCCCTGGGAATGGTGGGGCTCTGTGTGGGGAGGGGGCTGGCAATGCTGTGCACAGGGCTCCTGCCCTGCTGTCCCTTCTCTCTGCACAGTGACAGCCAAGCCCAGACCATCCCATGGGGTTGGCACATGCAGGAGCAGGTTCTGGGAGGGCCAATATGCTTTTGGGTTCAATCTCAGTGGCTGCTGGCACAGGGAGAGCAGGGGAAAGCTGTGCAGGCAGCTCTGCTGGGGTGCACAGAATGCACTGAGCCCTATGGACCGATGCTGGCCTGCAGGGGAAACCCCAGAGGGGAAGAGGGAAGCAGAGCGTACCTCCACTCTCAATCAGCACGTCCAGGAGCTCGTCCATCTGCTGACTTCGTGTCATCTGCTGCAGCAAACGACAAAGAGGAGAATAGAGGGCATTAGGAGGACAGTCCCTCCAGCCACAAGCCAGCTGGATGGCTCTAGACCCCAAAAAAGATGGCTCTAGACCCCACAAATGGCTTCCTCCCCCAGAGAAGAGAGGCCATACCAACAAGGATGGGGCTAGCAGCAGCGTTCAGGGCACTGCAGGGACGTGGCACAATCACTGGATCCAGTGAGCAAGGCACCCTTCCCTGCTGCCAACCCTCTGCTCAGTGGCCACCACAGCCTGCCCTGTCCCAGGACACACCAACATTTTGGCCCCAGCACCTCACACTGGAACGTGCCTGCCTGCCCTCCCTGCTCCCTGCACTGCCCAGTGCCCTCCTCTCCCTGAGCAGAACCTGGAAGATCTCCTGCACGCTGGCATAAGCCCATTTTCACCCTGCCAGCAGCATCACTCCACTTTCCTAAAGGCACCAACAGACCCAGCACTGAGGCTGCTCCCAGACTCTGATGGGAAGGAAGGTGTTCCTGGCTATGGCCAGTCCTCCCTGCAGGAACAGCACTCCAGGGTATGGCTCAGGGGGGCAGATGGCTCGGAGCAGGATGAGGGTTCCTGGTGACCTGGGAGCGCTCAAGGGTCTGACTCTCACACAGCACTGAGCACCCAAAGAGTGCTCATTGGCACCCCAGGGGACTTGGGGGGTGTCAGCACCCCTGGCTGCACAGGGGATACTATCCTGCCCAGCAGCGTGTCTGACTCTTATGTGGCAACTAGTCAGCAACTAACCCTTCAAAAAAGCCCATTCCTCATGGAAAGAGGCCTGTCCTACCCAGAGACCTCAGCACGGGTTAGAACTCCTGCAGCTGAGTCCCACTGATTGCAAAAAGACATCTTGGGCAGCCCTAGCCCTGTAGGAAACAAAAACCATGCAGTTACCTGCTTCACTGCATCCTCATAGGGTGGAGGCTGCTTTACCTCTGACAGGGCTGGGCTTGACTCACAAAAACTTGGGGATAAAATAGAAAACTTTTGGCCTGACTGCACAGCCATCTGCATGGGGAAATACAGGGAAATGGAGTCAATGCACGGCGGGAGGCCCTGCTCTCATCCCTGCTGAGGTTGGTGTGCTGCCAGGGAAAATGACAATTTTGTGGATCAGACAAACTCAGACAAACTGCCTGGCTTTGAGCAGGATAGAGGAAGGTAAACCAGCTCCCTGACCTAGCTGTGAGACCCAGGGCCAGGCTGGCCTCTGGTCACTGCCAGGGCACAGACACAGTGTCACAGCACAGCCGGGTGCTCAGCCAGCTGTGGACATGCAGGACAAAGGGAGGACAGAGATGCTGCTGGTGGTCAGCTGTGCTTGGACAGTGATAAGGCACCTCCCCAGCCACTCCCAGCCCCTCCCCATCACCACCTAACTGGGGGCAACTCACAGAGCTCAGGCCAGGGAAGATCACTCAAAAGAGGGAAATCTCTGCTTGTGGCAAACACCGGCATATCTTTGCCAACTTGTTGCCAGGTTCCCCTTCCAGGATGGATGGCATTTGAAGCACAGTGCCTGTCAGCTGCTGTCCCCATCACTTCTGGGCCCCTGTGTGTCCTTCCCAACTGCCTGGCCATGGCATTGTCCCACAGATAACAGCACCTGGAGGGGACTGTCCCTCCATGTGGGTTAGATCCAAGAGTGGATTCAGGGCAGCAGTGAGGTCACTCTGCCTGGCCATGCACATCCTGGTCACCTTTCTATGGAGGGTAGTTGGAAGGAACACTACCCCTGGCTCATGGGAAACAGCAATGAAGGGCTGGGGACAAAGGAAGAGTTCTTGCTGTAGAAGAACTCTCACCCCTGGGAGTCCCTTGCAGGCAGCAGAGGAATGTCCAGAATGGGAGATATTGGAGTTGGGATGAGCTGCAGGACACAAGGGGACCATGCACTCTGTGCACCCCCTGCCCTAGGGCAGTGAGGGAGCAGCTGGAGATGCCCCAGTGGTGCCACTGATCCCTCCTGAGCCTCACTGACCACTGCCTCGAGTCCCAGCTGCCCAGAGCAGCCCTGCTGCCTCTCTTGGGTATCACCTCCCAGCACTGTGTCCCACTGCCCACTGCCCCCACAGCTCTGATGCAGTGCCCAGTTCATCTCCACAGCCCCAGTGCCAGGGTCACCCCCTGCATCCCTTGCTCTTCTCCCACTGCCCAGCTCACCCAATCCAGTGTTCTCTCACCCCTGCAGCAGTCCCACTGACTGCCTCATCCCAACCCCATTCCACTGGCAGCTCTGTCTCTGCCCCTCCTCACCCTAAACTGCTGCCCTTTACCACCTCACTGGCCGTGCTGTTTGCCAACTGCCCCTGGCACCTACCTCACTGTGCTCTGGACACAGCCCTGAGCCCCACTTTGTGCCACTGTGCAGGCCTGCACCCCAGTGCCTGCTCAGTGGGCTGGGAGAGGCCCTGCTCTGGCATGGGCTGTCCTGCACACCCAGCCTGCTCCTGCCATACCCCTGGAGGCACACCTTGCACCCCTGTGCACAGCACAGGCCACTGAAAGGTGCTGCTGCTGCCTGGGGGGTCCTGGGAGGGCACTGGATGAACTGGGGCTGTGATCAGCAGAACCTTGTGCTGTTTTGTGCTGGCAGCGTGTCCCCCTCCCCAAGCATCCCTACCTGTCCAAGGGGCTGAGTGAGGAGTGGTGGCTGCTGAGGACAACTCTCTGCTGGGCTGGTGGCCTGCTGGGGAGGCACAAGCTCTCTCTGACTGCAGACCTCAACTGCCAGCCCTGCTCCAGCTTCCTGAGAAAATGCGTCCCTGGGGCAACTGCTCTCCTCCAACTCAGTGGTGAAAATCCCTCATACACTGCTGGGAGCCACAATGGCTTGGCAAGATGCTGGAAAGCCCTGCAGCCCTGCAGAGGGGTCTCCCAGGGCTGTAGGAACTGTGCCAGGGCTCTCCCAGGAGCTGAGGGATCCATGCTGGTGCCTCCCTGCTGTGTACATAGCTGTGCCAGGGCTCCATGGGGCATGGGCAGCTGTGCCAGAACTCCCCCAAGGGCAGAGCAAGCTGTGCCAGGACTCCTCCTGAGGGGAGAGCCAGCTGGGTTTGGGCTCTTTTAGGGTAGAAGAAGCTGTGCCAGTGCTCCCCCAGGGAAGAGGGAGTTTGCCAGGACTCCTCCAGGGGCAGAGAGAGCTGTGCCAGGGCTCCCCAGGGCAGAGGGAACTGCGCCAGGGCTCCACAGGGCAGAGGATGCCATGCCAGAACTCTCCCAGGACACGGGCAGCTTTGCCAGTGCTCACCTAGGGGCAGAGAGAGCTGTGCTGGGGTCCCCTGGGGAAGAGGGGAGCTGTGCCAGGGCTTCCTCAGGGCAGTAGGAGCTGTGCCAGGGCTCCATGGGGCATAAGAGCTTTGCTGTGGCCCCTCCAGGGCAACTGTCTGTGGTGACAGGGCTCCCCAGAAGAAACCCTGCAAAGGACCCTGCAAAAGACCCTGCAGTGCTATTAGCTTCCAACCCACTGTCCATCCGCGACACTCTGCCCTTGCAGGCAGCCCCACCTGCCGCCAGCAGCCCGAAAGGCTCCCCGGTGTGGGTGTGACCCGTGCCGCTGTGGGCTGGCACTCACCGGCGCTGTGCGGAGGCAGCTGCTGCTCGGCGGGGACCCGCTGCGGCCCTCGGGGGACACCGGGAGCAGATAGTGGCTGTTGGGGGACGGTGGCAGGCTGATGTGCTGGGGGCTCTTTGCAGCCCCCAGGGGAGAGTGCTGGGGCGAGCACTGCGGGCTCAGGAATGTCGAGGAGGTGATGGTGCTCTGCCCTGCGGGCTCCAAGCAGTGGCTATTTACAATGTGGGGCACCTGTGGTACCCCACAGTTACTCAGCTTATCCGAGCTGCCAGCCTGGCCTTTGAGGGCCATTTGTTTGGATGCAAATGGACAGCTGGACACGGTGTTTTCTTGTTTGATGGGGACACCAAAGAAATGCTGAGCAGGCTGCTGCTTCTCCTCAAGGCCATTGCTCCTCTTTCGCTTCTGGAGCTGCATCCGCAGCTCTTCCACCTGCCTCTGCTCCTGCTGCAGCTTCCACGTCAGTTCATTGATCACCTTCTGCTTCTCCACCAGCATCTTGTCTTTCTCTGTGTCTATTCCTTCCAGTTCCAGCTGGATGCTCCCTCCATTCATGCTGCTCATGAGGCTTTCCTCAGCACTGCCGTGAACGGGCGATGGCTGGAGACCGAACTGTGGGGAGGACATGGGCCCGTCGTTGAAGGTGTCGGGCAAGGAGCCGCTCACAGACAGATCAGAGGAGGCGGGCGAGATGGGTGGGGTGGAGCTGGTGCTGCCAAAGTGATAGAAGCCATTTGATAACATGCTGGTGGAGGACTGCGACTGGTAACTGGACAGGGTGCTTGTTGGAGTGACAGGGAAGGTGACGGTGGTGATCTCACTGAAGTTTGGCACTGTGCTGCTGCTGCACTCCTGGAAGGGCCGCAGCCGCTCCATCAGCGCTGTTTTGGTACCCGACACAGGCAGGCCTCGTATTCGGAGCTGCTGCCTCAGCTCTGACACCTGGAAGGAAAGTCACTCCTGATCAGTCTCAGAGACAGACAAGCCCTTTAGAAACCCAGTGCTTCTAACGAGGAGTTTCAGATCACAGGCTCACAGCTTCCAGCTTTAAAGCTCTGACCTCCCAGGTGCTCCCTGTCTCACCTGCAGTCACCAGAGTCACCATGCACAGGCCTGACCACTGCACATCCTGCAGAATCTCAACCTTTCCTAACAGGAAAACCTTCCTCCAAGAACTGTAACTCCTCTCCACGAGCCAGCAGTGGTCCTTGGAAGCAGCTCAGGAATCCCTTCCTACAGTAGATTTCTCCATGAGCAGAGGACTCTAACACAGACCAGGAGCCACCTGATGGCTCAGAGACTGTGACACCTTGGAGCCACATGCTCTGTGCTCAGACACATGATCCAGTCACATGAGCTAGGACAAACTCATGCTGTTTCTACCTTTGAGTGCCCCCAGGTCTCTGCTCCTAGAAGAATTTGGTCTTCCCCATGACTGAGGTTCCATTAGCAAAAGAATAGCTGACATGACAGATTCTCCCCTACAGCCTTTCTTGCCTCCATGAGAGGTGCTCAAAATAGTGCATGTAGCAGGAGGTACCTGCTCATGTAGAGAGCTGAGCTGGCCTGGCTGAGGAGCTGAGTCACTAAGAGGGGAGCCATGCTGCCCTACTGGCTTCTGGCTGCTCTGTCAGAGCACCCACAATGTCCACCATAAAACCACATAGGGATGGAGTCAGGAGCTGCAGGAGCAGCAGCTCAGATCATCCTTTAGGCTGATCTGCAGCCTCCCAAAGCTACACCTTTGGTTTGCTGAAACATACGCTAGAGCAGTGCACCCCTCACCACCTGCAGAGCAGCAAACCCTCATGTTCAAAAGGTCCCCAGTGACCAAGCCCTGCCCCATGTGGCTCAGATCACGGAGGTTGAGGTGTGCTGAGGTGTTGAGGTGTGTTGAGGTGTGCTGGCCTTTCCCAGCCTATGGCACTCCCCTGACACACTCAGAGGCAGCACAGCCCACTCAGACTGTGACATTCTGTTCCTGCAGTGACAAAGTTGGCACTCACTTTGAGATCATCCAGGTTGGATGGCAGAGGGCCTGGCTTGATAGATGAGACACAAGTCTGGCCTGAAAAGGTGGTTTTCACTGGAGAAAGAGGGGTGTTGTTGCCAGAAGCTGATGAAGAATTTGAAGTTTTCACCATTTGCTCATTTGATTGCCTGAAATAACAAAGGAGATTTGGGGTGACTTGTCTGTTCCCCCAGGGTCTTTATGCCCAGCATCCCATCCCTCTGCTCCCTTGGGTCTGCTGTCTCCTATATGAGACTTCAGAATGGCCAAGGAAAACCAGGCTGGGCTGTAGGAGATTGCTGGTGTCCCACCAGCAGGTCACAGGAGCCCCAGCCAGTATGCAAAGCCAGAATGGCTTAGAAGAAGTTGCCAAGCTTTTCTATCTCAGTGGCATGCCTCTATCCCCCTGCTCTGGCAAAAATGGCTACAGAGGGGAAAGTCTGGAGACAGGACTGAGTCCTGCTGCTGGCACAGTGCCACTCACTTCAGCTGTCCTTGGTGCATCCCAGGGTAGTTGAAGTGCTGCTGCTGCTGCTGTTGCTGCTGCTGCTGCTGCTGGCTGAGGATCTGGAGCTGCAGGAAGAGCTGCTGCTGCTGGAGCAGTCTGGCATATGCAGAGTCCATGGGTGGAGGGGACTTCTCGGCTTTCTGGTCTGGAGGGATGTACTGGTGGTACTTGAGCTTCTTCACTTTGGGCTTGGTGTCTTTGGGCTTTTTGTGACGGTTCTTGCTATCACTGGATGATTTGGACTGTTGAGCCAAGAAGGAAAGGAATTAGGTGTGAGAAGAGCTCCTGTCATCCCCATGGGACCTCAGAGGCCTGGGACAGAACAAAGACAGCTCCTGCTGGCACCTTGACACTCCAGCTCCAAGACCTGCTGAGCCTGGATGTGGGGGACTCCCTTGGCACTGTGTCCCATCTCAGCTGTGCTGGAGACCACATGAGATGGAGAATGACCCTCTCTGCCTGGAAGGTACTCCAGTGTTGCCTTGTATCTCCTCCTGCTCCCATCCCCCGGGGATGTTTTCAGTGCAGGACTCAAGCATATGCTTCTAGCAAGGCGTATTGCTGTATCTTGTACCATTACACAATGAATTAAATTAGTTTTTGACAAAGGGTCGTCTGCCTGAATTATTCAAAGCCTTTAAGAGCAGACACCCAGAGCTCCCACACATTTGGGGTGCAGCACATGGGCACTTCAGGCGTGGATGCCGTGGGCTGGTTCCTGTCCTGGGCAGCCTAGAGGCACTGGCGTTACCTTCACGGCAGAGGGCACCGGCAGTGTCGGGCTCTCCTGTCCCGCTGGCTGCTTGGGGCTGTCGCACTGGCTGCCCTGGCCCGGGGCAGTGTCCGGAGCGTGGCCATCTTCACTGGGGGGACGATCCTACAAGGGAGAGGTGAGAAGGGCTGTGGGGCTGGACCCAGGAACTGTCCGGCCTGGACAGGGGCTCCTGGTACCCCGTTTTCTCACCTCATGTTGTTCCAAATCCCCACGCGCCTCAGTGCATCCCAGTCCCCTCATGTCTGTCCCAGCCACATCCTCAGGCTATCCCAGTCCTTTCCCAGTCCTCTGCCTCCACAGTCCTCCTTGGTTTTCCAGCCCTCCCAATTTCGCCTGAGGTCACTGCTGGCACCTCAGTTTCCCCCAGATCAGCCCAGTCTTCCCAGCTGACCCATGGATGGTCACAATCCCTTTGGTCCTCCCCCACCCCAGCGTGCCCCAGTTCGTCCCTTTCCCCCCTGTCCATCCCAGCCCCTCCAGTCTGCCTCAGTTCACTCCAGTTCCCCCATTTCCCCCGGCCCCGCCGTTTCCCCAGACTCCACATTCCCCTAGTTTCCCCCAATCCCCCGGTTTCCCCAGCCTACACATTCCCCAATTTCCCCCCAGTCCCCCCAGTCCCTCGCTCCACTCCGGTGCTCCCCAGGGCTGCAGTGTCTGCGCCGGCCGGCAGTGGGCGCGCCGGCACCGCGGGTCACAGAATTACAGAGAAATCACAGAACCACAGAGAATTAGGGAGAATTACAGAGAAATCACAGAACCACAGAGAATTAGGGAGAATTACAGAGAAATCACAGAACCACAGAGAATTAGGGAGAATTACAGAGAATCACAGAAACAGAGAATCACAGAATCAGAGAGAATCACGGAGAATCAAAGAATCGCAGAGAATTAGAGAGAATCACAGAGAATCAAAGAATCACACAGAATCACAGAATCCAACTGAATCGCAGAATCCCACAGAATCCCACAGGATCACAGAATTACACAGAATCACACAGAATCAGAGAATTAACCTGATGTTTGAGATCACTGAGTCCAACCTGTGACCCAACACCACCTTGTCAACTAAACCATGGCCCTGAGTCCAGGCTTTGTCAAACATCTCCAGGGACGGTGACTCCCCACCTCCCTGGACAGCCCATTCCAATGCCCAACCATCCTTTCTGTGAACAATTTCTTCCCGATGTCCACCCTGAACCTCCCCTGGTGCAGCTCAAGGCCGTGTCCTCCTGTCCTGTCCCTGTTCCCCGGGAGCAGAGCCCGACCCCCCTGGCTGTCCCCTCCTGTCAGGGAGCTGTAGAGTGATGAGGTCTGCCCTGAGCCTCCTCCAGGACAAACATCCCCAGCTCCCTCAGCCTCTCCTCACAGCACTTGTGTTCCAGACCCCTCAGCCCCTTCTCTGGGCACACTGCAGCATCTCCACATCCCTCCTGAACCGAGGGGCCCCGAACTGGACACAGCACTCGAGGTGCGGCCCCACCAGTGCTGAGCACAGGGGAGGAATCACTGTCCGGGACCCTCCTGTGCTCCCTCCCTGTGCCATCCCCTCACGAGTCTCCCCTGTCCCCCCACATCTCCCCCGGCTCCAGGACAGCTCGCCTTACCTGTGGAGCCCCGGCAGGGGCGGCGGGGGGCGGCTCCGGGGCCTTGGAGCCGGGGGGAGGCTCTGCGGGGCCCGGGGAGCCGCGGCTGCGGGGCCGCTCCGGGGACAGCCCGTCGTTGCTGCTGTCCTCCTCGAAGGCGAAGGCGTCGGTCTGCCGGGGAAAGCCGCCCTGGGTGCCTGCGGGGCAGAGGGGCGATGGTCAGAGCCTGAGGGGACGGGCTGAGCCTCGTGGGGCCTCGGCCGCCCCCACCGCCCCCTGCCCGGCCGTGGGTGGGGGGAACACGGGGTGCCCGGGGGGCTCGGCCACCTCCGGGACTGCCCCGCGGCTGCGGGAGACCAAGGGGACCCAGCCATGGACAGGGGAGCCAGGACCATGGCCCATGCTCTTTGGGACAGGGAGAGAGGAGGATCTGAGGAGCCGGGACCATGGCCCATGTTCTTTGGGGCAGGGAGAGAAGAGGATCTGAGGAGCCCAGCCGGCCAGCACAGCAGGGTTGGTGCAGACAGGTGGGACTGGTGCAGGAGGGGCTCGGCCATCCTGCTCCTCCACTGGGCTGGGATGGGAGAGGGACACGAGCACCCCGGCTGAACACTCACACCACGCATGGGACTCTGTCCTCAGCACAAGGACTGAGGTTGAAATCAGCTCGGAATGTGATCCACCTTCTCACACCACAAGAGCCAAGAGGAGTGGATGTGGCTGCAGGTGCGCAGAGGCTCCCACATCCTGTCTCTGTCCACAGGTTTCACCCACTGGACGTGGTTCAAACCACTGCTACTGCCTGCCTGACAGCCCCATGGCTGCTCCACCTCCACAGCTCCTGCACTCTTATCTGCTAGTCAGATGGGCAAGGGTTTGACCCCGAGGTTTGCTGATAAATAAAGTGCTGAGAAAAAAAAGGTCTCATGTGAGCCTCGGGAGAGCTGCAGGTTGGGGTAGAGGAAGGAGCAGCGTGGCCACACTCATAATCTCCTCGTGCTCATGTCTGGCATTTGTCAGGCAGCTTGGCACGCTGATAGTGAGGTGACAAATGGGGAAATAGGAAGGGCCTGGGGACAAGCTTCCACCTGTCCCTGCTGCTGGTCTAGCAATGTGCACCTTCTCAATGACACGCACCTCCTTCTCTGACCCCTGTCCCTATCTGGGAGATAAGGGTTATCTCCACTCCCTGTGGCTGCTGGTGCCAGGGTGGGCGAGGACAGAGCCCTGGCTCCCTGCCTGAGCTGCTGTCCAGACATGGGCTGGGGTAATGAGATCAGCCCTGTTCAACTTGCTCTTTTCATATGTCTCTGGAAAGAGTGCCTGTGTCCTCTCCATCCTCTACATCAGAGGCAGCACCCACACAGGTCCCTGAGGAACTGCACCATTGCATGGGCCACCTGGGCTGCATGGGAGCTGCTTCCCACACCTGCAAGCCAGCGTGGACACCCTCTCTTGGAAAAAATGACTCCAAGCAAGGGGGACTTGTGGATCTGCAGGGCTCCTGCTGCGCTGGCAGGGAAGCGTGTGTTGGCAAGTGGTGCCAAAGCTGGGAGCACAAGGGACCTTCAGGACACACTGACAGCCCAGAGCATGACAGGAATGTGCTGCATCCTGCTGCTTGATACTGCAGGCCTGTGCCAATGGGGAATGCTTCCCTTATCTGTCCTGCTCTCACCCAGCCCGGCCTGAGCATATTGTTTCTCGATTCCGTGTCCCTGCTGTAATCTCAGGCAGGATGGTGTTTGCTCCGGGCTGTTTCTAATGCACTGGGTATTGTCCTCTCGAGCGCATTGGACAAAGTGATGACAAGGACCTGGTAAAAAAAGTTTCTTGTATCACTGCTCAGCTATGCAGGGCACTGGCGGCCTCCTGTCACTGGGACGTTTGGGCTTTCGGTTGGGGTCTGGCACTTTCTGCTCACCCTGCCGGAGGTGATTAGAGGAACACGTCAGCTGAACTTTCCACTGTGTAAACAGTTGAGATTCCAAGGTTAAAGTAAAATGATTTTAAACCCTGTCATCTTTCTGGTATTGCAAAAACAAAAGGCTTAACGTTCAGAAGTGCCAGTACTCATCTCTGCTCTGTGTTCAGCCCTTTGCCCCAAACTAAAAGTAACGACAATGTGCCTCTGACTCCAAAAATGAGCTTAAGGATCCTTCAGCTTGAGGCTTTCTTTTGCAGAAACCTGAGTGCTGGGATGGTGTTCCTGGTGCAGTGGCAGCACCTTCTTCTCATGGCACCCTGTGGTACTAAGCAACTTCATGTTGGACTCTAATGTGTTGAGTGTTTCACCCTGGCTTACAAGGACACATTTTTCCCCAGCAATGTGATAGAAGAGCACTGTGAAAGGGAGAAATTTAAAACTGAACAAATCATTTTTAAGCCAAATTTTTTGTTTTTAACAGTTTGGTCCAGTAAATCTCTGTTTACCATGAGCTCTTGACAAGGCAGCTGGAGAGATGCTCTATTCAAGATTCAGGCTCATTTGCCCAGTCTCCAAACCTCAGCTCCAGAGGATAAAGTCATGCTCACACTGCCTCAAATGTTTATAAAGGGGTGGGGGGGATTTTTTGAAACTATTTTTTTCCCTCACTGTTCTCTCCTTTAGTAAGTGGCCAGGGAGATTTTACTTGAACTCTCCTTAAAAATTCCTCTTCAGGCAGAGTCCTGGAACATTTCACCTTCAAAGAGGAGGGCTGCGACATGCTGGGAATGGAGCAGCTCCAGGGCCAGGCTGGAGAAGTTGCATACACAGCTTGCATTTCACAGCTCCCAAAACAAGAGCAGGAATAATTGTGGGGTAGGACAGAGCAGTGTCTGAGCCTGGAATATTTCATGTCATTTAAGATGGTTTCTGAGATGAAATGAAAATCAAAGTGCTTCCTGTTTCAACTGTCATTTTTGGCATCTCTCCTGTCACTCCAAGACCCTTTCTGTCCCAAAGCTCTGCCATTGCCCCCAGCTTGCTCTGAGCTCCAGAACAGACTCTTGAAATGGGATTATGCCAGTGGAAATGATCCCATTAATTGAGGAGCTGTGAGCAACAGAACAAGCAGCTTCCAGGGGCAGAGCAGCTCTCAGTGCCTCACTGGAGACCTGAGTGCCAGTTTGGACATGTGGAGATAGTCCCAAAATTCAAAAATAAGGATCGCTGTCCTGTCACTGCAGGACCCTGTGGGCTTTCCTGCTCTTTTCTCTGCTTTTGGATCTCCCTGTCCTGGCACTGGGCCCTGGTGAAATTTGAGTCACCTTTCTGCTCTGTGTTGGCTCCCACACCAACTTCCCTGCAGCAGCGTGGAGGAAGTAATTGTGGATGATTCTTCCTCCCTCCTCTGGTGGGAGGAGGTGATGGAGGAAAACTAAGCTTAGGCATAAAGCAAGTGCTGGGTCCTGGTTGGTAGGAGTGTACCCTCTTTGGGAATGCAGGCCCCTGTTCATATTCACCAGCAATTTAGCATCCCAAGGATGCTCCACACCCCAGGGATGCAACATCCTGCTCTTCTGGGTCCTGCATACCACTACCAGTGGCAAAAAAACAACCCAAAAAACAAAACAAAAAAACCCCTCACAGCCTTACTGAACTGGGGCCACTCTACCCCCATTTACTGGTATGTGAGAGCTTGGCAGGGCACAAGTGGGAGAATCTGGGCTGGTCTCACAACCAATACCTGTGCACTCAAGTTCTCTCCCATGCTGAAGGAAGGAGTGACCTCTCTCCTACAGTATCACTTCTGTGCTCAAAGCCTTGGGGAGGGAAGAGGTCTAAGAAGGGAGCTTCTTTCTGGGGGAATGAGGCTGAGCAATGATGCATGTTTCAGTGTCACTGCTTTAAGATCAGAGCTCTGTGTTCACAGGCTGTGCTGGACTGGGCTGGTGACTGTGAAAATAATGACATTTAAGCAATAAATGCAGCTCTGACATCCAGGTCCGTCACCTCCTGCAGTGACTGTGGTACCTCCTGGTCCCCTCAGCAGCCCCTGCCCCATTCCATGTGCACACACAACACACACATTCACTGGCACTACCTTTTATGGCCTCTTTCACAGCTGAGTCCACAGGAATAATATTCTTCTCCACCAGCTCCAAAGGACCCGGCCTGAGAGCAATCTTTTCATTGAGATCATCTGCCAGTCGGGCTCTTTTCAGCTTCATTTGAGTAGACTGAATGGACCCTTCTGCAGCCGAGTCTAAAAGGCCAAACAGAAGCATCAGGACCAGGGGTTCCTGTGGGCACAGCACTCAGTGAGAACGTGATGCCCTTCAGCACAGCCTCTGGGGGCTGTGGCCAATACCTGAGTGTGGCTCAGCACAGCAGGATCTGCTCTGCTAGACTGAGTGGGGCTGCTGGGGTTTGGGACATGGGTCCTTCTCAGAGCCTCAGGCCCAGCTTGTCCATTCCCAAACAAAAGCCTCTGTCTACCATCCTGGGCTTGCAAACCCAGCCTACAGCTGGAGCATCCTTTGCAAGGCCTAGGAGTTATCTGTGATGGAAACTTCATGAGCAAGCTGCCACTAACAAGGGCCAAAGGGGTCTCCTGCTCCTGCCTGCCAGGAGCACATTGGCCCCTTGTGGGCTAGTGCAGATGGGAAACAGCTGGAGAATAGAACCACTGGCAGTGCTTGATAACTGGAGTAAATGGTTTACACTGGAATTAAAAATGCTGAGTCTTGGGCTTTTGGAGGTGACATGACTACAGTGCTCCAGCCTTCAGGGAAAAACGAGCTGGGGAGGAGCAGAACAAAAGCAGGCAGATCTGGAAGCTACAGCCCTACCAAAGCCAGCTGAGAAGACCCCAGTTATTGGAGGATGACAGAACAATAGCAACTTAGACAGGTTTCCTGAACAAAGCTGTCTGGCTCCTCTCTTGGACCAGGAGTGAATAGTGAGGGAGTGCAGACCATGTCTAAACCCTTGAAGGTCTAAAGTAAGAACAGCTGCATGTAGGTTGTTCTATCTCCAAAGCCTGCACACTCTCTGGAAGAGATACTGTAGGGAACATGAGCTACAGGGCTTGATACCATGGAAATTCTCTACAGGAGGTCAGGAGAGCTGGTCTAGGGCCATTCCTGGCCTCAGATTATACAGACCAGTGAACACAAATGAGCTCCTTGAGGTGAACTGTAACAGAAGGACTGTAAAGCACTTGGATGATGCAAACTGTGTCACCTGGCCAGTTCCAATCACCTCTAGGTCCAGTTGTGAAGAAAATGGATTTGTAAGTCAAATCCACAAAATGGATATGCCAAGACACAGCTCTGAAATGCAGAGCAAGATGGAGAGGTGTGAGCAGAGGCTGCAGGTAAGGGGGGTGTGGGGCAGCATATGCATCTTGCTGAGTGCACAGCCAGGCACTCTCTGCTCTCTGCAGTCTCTCTCCCCTGGCTGGCTCTGTCCCTGTCCATGCCCAGAGACTGCAGCTGCCTCCATGGCTAATAACAGCTCCCCATCTCCAGTCCACATTTCTTCTATTATTTAACCTAAGGCAAGGACACTTTCCATCTCCTAAACAAGCAATTGTGCTAGCTTATTTTAGGGATGGAAACCCAAGGGAACAGCAAGGCAGAAACACTGATCCAGCATGGGACCCAGGCTCAGGCCTCCTGCCTGCCAGAGGAAAAAAGAAATACAGATTGCATCCATGCTGAGAGCAGAGGGCAGCATTCACAGCTGCCAGAGAGTGATCTGCTTCTTCCAGGCAAATGACAGGACTCAAGGAGGGAGGGAGGCTGCACATCCTCTCTGTCTCTAAGGATCTTGTTATCTCTGGAGATAACGAGGGACACTGTGGTGTTCTGCTGTCTGTGATGGGATACAGCCCTGCCAGCTCTCTGGCTGAGAGGGAACACCAGGATGGGAGAGGAGAGAGCTGCTGTGGCTCATGGACTGATAACAGCCGGGCTTTTCATACAGCTCTGCCTGGGTCATTGACTGCATAGGCTGTCACATAGAATATCCAGAATTACAGCAGGACAAAATATGTCCAGCTTTGGGAAGGTGTGACAATGACCTGCTATAGGAATTGCAGTGCCCTGGACAACCAATTCCCTGGGTTTGCTCGTCATGATTAGACATTGGAATTGGTGTCTAATAACAGAGTTCTCTCTCACAGCTGTTCTCTACTCCACTGTTCCCTAGAGCATCTTACACTGCTTCCTGCCAGAGATGGGAGAAAGACTGGGTGGCCTTAGGACTGTGTCTGTCAGGGAATAAAAGCGTGTCCTGTTTCCTGAACACCAGGTCTGGACAGAATTTTCCACGTGTCCCATTTGAGTCTGCCCCCATGAGCAGCTGGAACAAAGTAATGGCAATGAGATTCCTGAAGGAACACAAGAAGGGGAGGAGAAACACGAGTCCCAAGGCAGGAGACACAAGGAGTATGTGGGAGGAGCTTGGGCAGTCTTACCTTGCAGAATGTGCATATTGACCAGGTCTGAGCGCTCAGGCCTGCTTCTGATCTTGTGCTTGAGATAATCTTCAGTCTGCAGAACACAAACGCAAAGTTACCTGGCTAGAGCAGCAATAAGGTACTGAGAGCATTGCCCCTGGGCCATCCCATGGCTCTTTTGGCTTTATTACAAGCTGGGTTGAGCCAGCTCCTAAATGACATTTTTCATCACTGAAACGCTTGGGCAGAAGTTCTTCAGAAAGGGAGCAACGTGTTCATAGCTGCTGACTGTTCACTGCACCCACTGCTGTGCCCTCTGCCATTACTCTGATGCCTGAAATGTCATGAGAACTCATAGGAAGGGTGAGACCTATTCCCTGGCAGTGGTGGGCCTGCACACCACGTCACCCTGCTCCAGAATGTCTTGGTAGCAGCGGCTTCTGTGGGAAGCCCAGCACTCTGGAGTGAGGTATCAGGCAGAACAAGTCATGAAGCCACTCAGACACTCTAGCCAGGTCAGCCACGAGGCTTAACCTTCCTGCAGCCTTGCAGCCCCTGTGCTCTGCAGTTCCTCACCCAAGCTGTGATTTGGGGTTGGGAAGATCTGCTTTGCAGTCACTGCAGCTGGGCTTGTGATGGACATGGTCCTGGAGCCTTGTGCCAACTCCTTCATGGCTTTAGGAAAGAGAGGCACACAGAGGTACAGGAACACCATCCATAAGGGCCAAGAAAGTCAGCCTGAGGGCAGATGACCTCAAGAATACAAATATAAGCTTATTCCATGATGAAGAAAAGCTAGAGCTCAACTTAGACAAGCTCTTAGCTAAGCTGAGCTGCAAGAAGAAATAGTACAAAAATCGTACATAATTCAAAGAGATTAAAATCTTAAGGATAAATATAAAAGAATAATACAAGCAGTTGGAGCAAAATTGGAAATCCACAGTACAAAACGTACAGGATCATGAGAAAAAGATCTTATAAGGACTTCTGCAGTCAGAATCAGACAATGGAAAATGCTGTCTGTGTTCCATAAACAGGAGAAATAATTGTTCATACTTCTGAGATGGCTACAGGATTTAATGCCTTTTAAAAACCATCCTCACTAAAAAGATAAATGGCTCTTTATCAAACAGGTGGCTCAGCCAAGAACCTTCAGCAACAAAAGAGAAGAAACCCCAGTTGTCAGGTTGGAGAACAGGTTAGAGGGCACTCAGAGGAGTTAAATGTTCCCAAACATTTTTGAGACACGAGGCTGGAGTAATAGCAACTATCTATGGCCTTCCAGGAAACTGGGCAAAGGAGAGTAATTGCTAGCTTTAAAAGAGATGGGAAGAAGAAACCAGGAACTTATAAAGCAGACAGCAAGATACTGGACCAAGTAATCAAACAATCTATATAAATGAATTTTGAAGATAGCAAGGAGGTGAGCAACAGCCAGGATGGATTTATCAAGAACGAATCACATCACACCAACCAAAATTCCTTCTATGGAGAAATGACAGTTTTCTCTTGCAGGAATAAACAATGAATATCATGCAGCTTGACTCGAAGCATGTTTTGACATTATCTCCCATGGCTTTCTCACATGCAAGCCAGAGAAATTTGGTCTGGATAAGAATAATATAAAAAAGGAGCATAGCTGTGGATCACCAGAGGAATTGGAAATGGCTCAGAGTCTAAACAGAAGAATAAATCAAATCCTGTTACAAAGCAATTTTTCCTGCTAGTCAATATATTACTTATTGCCTTGAATGATAGAAGACATACTCCTTCATTCTAAATCATTCAAGGCTAGCTGATTACAGTGCACCATGATTTGGCACAATTGATGATCTGAAATACATGTGCTACGGTTTCAAGAAGGACATTTGGGAAGGGCTGTGTTCAGGTCACTGCCACAGCTAAGCCAGCTGATGAAATTAAGCACTGCAGTGGATGGAGACTTAATGCACCAGAGATACTCCTGCAGTGGTCACTGGACACGGCCTTAGGCAGAAATCAGTTACTGCATGCATGGAAAAGTATAAAAGGCTCTGGAGAGTCCAGTGATCAGCAGCTGACCCACAACTCCAAACCAGCAAGGGAGACACAGCACGGGGTGTCAGCTCGGCCCTGCTCTGTGCCCTGCACCTGAAAGGGTCCATGGAAGGGTCTGGGCAGACAGCTACAGACATCACCACTGAGTCAGAGATGAGATCAAGGAGGGGAGTAGACAGGAGGGGAGGTTGGTCAGTCCAGAGGTGAGATGGCTATTGGGACACAGGAGGCAAAACACCTTTTAAAACTGTGGCAGGGAAAAACGAGTTCTGAATATACACACAGTAGTGTGCTCAAACTTCAGCAGAACAGCTTGAGCTGGGAATCAGGGGCCAAGCGTTCACAGCACAGTTCAGAAAGCACCAGAGCAGGTCACAGGCAGTGGGTATCTGTCAGAGCTCACATCCCAGAGCAGCTCACTGTGGGTGTCTGTCAGAGCTCACACCCCAGAGCAGCTCACTGTGGGTGTCTGTCAGAGCTCACACCCCAGAGCAGCTCACTGTGGGTGTCTCTCAGTGCTCACACATGAATCAGGACCTGCCCAGTGGGGCTGTCCTGCTCTGGGCAGAGCCCTGACAGCCACCCCACAGCCCCTCTGTGCTGGGGTGCTGGGTGAGTGCTCAAACCCTGCTGATCCAGATGGCCCCAGAGCCTGCTCTCTGTCCTCCACCCCAGCAATCTATTACAGGACATCAAAGTCTGCTGTGCTGGCCCACTGCCAGCCTCTAACATAGCCAGTGACATGTTTAAACAAATAATAGACATTTTATTTACTAAAGTCTTTACAACGCCTTACCCTCCCCCCCACTATTTTTCACAGCTTATTTCCACCAACACAATCCCCTGCTTGGCCCATGTGTAGGTTTGCCTGGCTCCTGTGCCAGGTCAGAGTAAGCTGGTGTCTGCACCTGAGTGCATTTAAACTCATGTAATGCATTTCCAACTAATCCTGAGATCAGGTCCTGACTTGGGCTCAGCTCCAGCTGCTGTCCCACAGCTGTGTTTCTGCTGTGACTTCAGTTCCTTTGGACCCTGGCTGTTAATAAGCTGCATTTGTGTCTCTGGGGTGCAAATGATGAAGACTTCAGATGCAAGCTTTTTTAACATCAGCTGAAGCAGAGGAGCTTTCACAGCACATGAACAGTTATCTGCTTTCTGTTTGCACAACATCAGTTTGGGGGAATATCAGCTAAACAACAAATGCCTTTGAGTAACTGTCTGGAAACAGCAGCTGATCTTCCCGGTCCCAGGTCTAAGCAGGGCAGCTTTGCAAGGGAATAATATTTGTTATGGGCTGTGTTCAGTGTCTTCATTAGCACTTTCTAAACATGCCTGTGGTTTGGGATAGACTAGACCATCCTTCCCCTTTCCCCAGGCAACTAGCCAGTGAAAGCTTTTGAAGAGAAAGAGAAAGAGACACAAATGTATACTTTAACTGTAAAATATATGACACTTCAAGGATACTTTGGATTGCTTGAAATTTTTTAAGCATACTAATCTTTCAGAGTCATACTGTATTTCTTATGCTCGCCATTTATTACCACAGGAGACTTGGGGCAAGTGATTTGGAGTGTGTTTAAGTTCAGAAGAGCATTTCCCTGTATTTCACAATCATTCTTCCTTGCAAAGGTCCTTTCCCATGTGACTGTAAGAACATTTTGCAGATTAATGGAACAAATTCTTGTGTTCAAGCAAAACCTGCATGATTAATTGCTTCCCTTTCTGGGATGATCCCTCCAGCTTGATCAAGGCTGGATTGTTGGCAATTGGAAAACCAATGTGATTTCCCAAAAAGTGATCAGATCACAGAGTTTCAGGATGTTCTGGAAATGGCTACTGCCTTTGTCAGTGTTTAGGGAAGCCTGGTAATGGGGTGGGTGGGAGCCTGGCCTATTTCCCCCTTGGATGGTGTGTCCTAATGGCCAAGCTGTACTGCAGAGCTAAAAGCCAGAGCTCCTGCCTGGTGACAAGTGTGAATTCCCTGGGGGCTGGCTGCAGGTGGCACCTGCATTCCCCCTGCACTCTTGCTGAATATGTTCCCTCAGGCCTGGCCACTGCTGGCACTGCTCTGACCTCGCTGCAGGAGTGCAGAGCAGCCAGCACAGGAGAAACAGGCTGTGGATGTGAGGGAGGGGAAGCAGCAGTTCCACTGGTGACACATTTACTGCAGGGACTGACAAAGCCATGCTGAACCCTGCCTCCTTTTATAAAACCTGGGGCTGCTCTAAAACCCCACAGCTCAGGGCACAGATGCCACCTTTGCCCTTTTTTAAAACCTTCCCTGCTGGGAGAAGGGTGCTCCAGAGTGTTTGTGAGCCTGGAAGCATTTCTGAAAGCAGGGCAAGTGCCTTGCCCCTCATCCTTGGCCACCAGGCCAGCGTGGAGGGTGCCAGAGGAGGGGACAGTGGTGGAAGGTGCTTTCAAACCCCGTGACTCATGCAAAGCAAGCCCATGTGTTCCCTCATTGGGATGGCTGCAGGAGTTACCTTGGCTCGCTCCAGACTTTTTCGCTGTTCATGGAATGCAGATGGGCTTTTCAGTGCTGCAACAGGAAAGAAAGAGGAGCAGTCAGCACAGGAGCGGAAGCAAGCAGCTACCAGGATATTCAGCAACAGCATTTTAATGAGTGCTATAAAAATAGCAACACAAACTAGCTGTTCTCTTTATTGTGCTGACTAAAAATAACTCAGGAAAGCTCTGGGAAATCCCTTGCTCTCAGCCAGTCCGTGGCAAGAGAGCAGGGGGGATGGAGAGCATGGGGAGAGCAGGAGGCACGTGGGCAGGGAGGGATGCAGGCTTTGAAACACAGTGCTCTGTGGGACACGTCAGAGACAGGATAAATCTTTTCCCTGCCATGTTCCCTGCAGGTCGTGGAAGGCACCACAGCTCCAGAAGACACATCTGGGAAGAGCAAACACCTATGAGGGAACCTCACCTGAAAGTAAAACCTGTAGGTGACTGAGGCCTGAGGTCAGCAGGAAAATGAATACCTGCCTCAACTCTTGGGATCTGTGGTGCAGCCTCCAGTGAGGGCATTGCCAGGTGGTCCTTCATCCCTCTTCTGTCACTGACCACTGGCATTTGTCCTGACCCCTGCTCAAAAGCAGCTGTGTCACATGGGACCTCCCTGGGCAGGCAAGCAGCAGGTCATGTCCTCAGCATCTCCTGACTTCAAGGAGGATTAACCCAGTGGCACTCCCAACAATAGGCCAATATTCCCTGGCTCTGGACCAGTGAACACCAGTCCCATGGAGCAGCCTGTATTGGAGTCATGGAGAATCTTGCACATTTCCTTGCTTACTGTGGTGCAGTAGAAATCAAGGCAGAATTTGCACCGAGAAGGGGTTAATACTTCTCACGTCCTACAAAAATTCTTTTCTGTCTGTGTAAGCAGACAAAACTAACTGTTCCCATTGGGACAAGGAAAGGGAAGGTGTCCTGACCCACAAAAACAGTCTGCTGCAAACCTTTGGCAACAGAAATTCTCTTTCCATCTTCTGAATGGGATCCAATAAAGACAGAAACTATTTTCATGCAGGCTTTGTTATCCTCCATCAGTCTAGGGGAGGATGAAAAGAAGACTGGGGAGAAACAGGAAAGGTTTGGGGCCCTCTGAATTGGCTTTTGGTAGTCAACACCCAGGCAACCCCTGGAACATCCAGTGAATCACAGAATCCTACTCCTGCCATTTGGAAAGCAGACAGACAGACAAGCTGGTGTTGCTGTGCCATGCTCCAGTGAGCAGCCACCAGCACTGGTGACAGCTGGTTTAATCAGAAGCAAAATTAAATAGTGCACATGAGAAAATGAAGTTAGCAAGAAATGACTTTCCCAGCCCTGCTCATGTGAAGTACTGATGTTGGCAGTGTGCTACAGGCACTGACCAAGTGCTGTGCTATTCAAGAGGAAAGTGCTGCAGAGTTTAGTAATTTACCAAGATTTTTGGAAGAATTATGTGGGTGCTGCAGCTTGTCTCAGTCTGCAGAACAAATAAAGACATTGCTAGCACTGCTAGTTCAGAGAACTTGTCAGGGGATGACATTTCAGCATGAAATGGGTGACAGCCTGGAGGCACCAGAGCAGAGGTGCTGTGTGTGGTGTTGATCACCTTGGGACAGTTTTAGGGCTTCAGTGAGGATAATGTGGTGGCTGTGTATAGCAGGAGGTATTTTTGCACCTTCAAGCACAGGTATTTTTACAGTCCATCACAGCCAGGGAGACTCACCTGGTCCTCAGAACCAACATGGCATGGGAAGATATGGTTAACAAAGTTTTATTTATGGTGAGGAATGTCTGCACATGCCCAAGCCATGGGGAAGCTGGCTGGGGCTCCCATGTATTAAATGCTAACATCTGACACTTCCTCCTGATGTCAAATTCAGCAGTTAAATTCTGCATGTTTGTTTTTATAATGGCATAAGTGCCTTTTCTTCTATTACTTTCAGTGAGTGAACCGTGCTCAAGTTTCCCAAAATGGTCTTCTTGGACAGAAACCAGACTGCAAAATGTCAGCCTAGAAGTTGGAAGTGCAAAGAAGCTGTAAGTAACAGGAAAATACCCTTCAGCTGCCATCAAATATATTTGGCTGAATACTTTGCAGTGTGTAAGGTTTGAGCTGTCGGGTGCCACGTGTGACAGAGCAGCCTTGCAGAGCAGCCCCAGGTGTACAAACCTCTCACTGCTGCCCCATGTTCTTGCATTACTCTAACAAATATCACAGTATTTTGTCTAAAGCTTCAGCTCCCGGAGTCTTGTGATCAAAGTGCCTTCCCTTTCATGGCAGGCAGCATAAAATCTGAATGCTTAAAGAAATAAACAGGCAAAATGTGGAAAGAATATGCATTTATCAGTCTTAAAAAACATTGATCATTTTGGCCGTCATGATTTTTGTCATCCTGCTCAAGTTTTCCTAGTGCTTGGTGCTGACAAGAATGTCCTGAGAAGGCATCTGTTGTTCAGCAACAATCCTCCAGGAAGGACAGGGGAGGGACAGGGTGCAGCAAGCAGTGCTAGAGCCATGCTCTTAGAGAGGTGGTGTTCTGCTGCTTAGGCAAGAGCTCCATCACAGTCTTCAAGGGCAGAAGAGACAGAAGTGACACAGCCTCTGGAAAATTGTGATCTTAGCAGTGAACCCAAGGGGTCCTTGATGAGACAGAGAGGAGAATCCTCTACCTGGGTCCCAGGTAACCACAGATTTGCACATGGAGCCTGAGCTAGGTCAGGATGGAGTATTCCACTGGGCAGGGCTGAGCTCCCAACATCCTTCTCCAGTGGTGCTACAGCTTTCATGATGCACCTGCAGGTGCAGAAGGGGATGGTTTTCATTCACTGACTTTTTGGGCTCTAGCAACTGACTTTGGTGCAGAATGATTTCATGGTAATGCTGTCTGGAGTTTGTCCTTCAGGCTCGAATGCCAGGTGAGCAGGGGTGGATGGGGTCAGAGGGGGAACACATTTGTCCCTCTGTCACACAGCAAGCAGCCCTCGTGGGGGTTCACTGGCCTCAGGTGTGCACTGACAGCTCTGCCCTGGGGGGGCCCTGCCTGGGCACAGACCTGGGTATGGCTCAATCCTCCAGGGACTGCACTGGGGCCAAGGCAGTGCCCCAGAGCTGCCTTCCTCCCCAGCCTCCTGGAATGAGCCCTCTCATCCTCTTCCTTGTCCTGGCACAGAGGTTTCTGGTTTTTACAGGAGGACAGGAGATTCTCTGCCCTTGCCTACATGAACAGCTTTGTGAGTCCTCTGCTTGAGCTGGACATGCTCGTCCTGCTACAGTGACCTCTGGGACAGGGAGCTCTGCAGCTGAAATTTTGAATGGTGTAAAGTAAGCATCTCTCCTGACTTCAGTTTGAGCAGGGGCATTATAGTCTGTGTGCTGAATGCACTGTACAGCACCAGGGATCATCACGTTTCTGCAGGGCTGGAAGCAAAGTCCCCCTGGTAGAAATTTGCTCTGAGCTGTGGGGGTCTGGTGCCACACAGTGCCCCAGCAGTGCCCAGTGAGCACAGCCCTCTAAGCCAGGATGAAAAAAGCAGAAGAATATACTCACGTGGCATGATGCCTTGGTCTGCCAGCTGCTCACGGGTCCTTCTCTGCTGGAGCCGTAGCTGTAAAACTGTGAGAGAGAGTGTCAGGGAAAGGGGCAGGATTGTCCTGAGGTGCTAATACAGGGACAAAGTGTGTAGGGTCTGTGTGTGGCACAGAGGTCTGGCACTGATCCCTGCTGCTGCTGGACCAGCCTTGTGAACAGTTTAGCTCATCCCATCACTCAGGTAACCACGCCTGTACTTTGAGTTAGTGTCATATTCTACACCTTTGGTTTTGCAAATTTGTCCTCAAGAGGACACCCACATCACAAGGTGAAATACAGAACTCAGTTCCATGCTTTCCTGCTGGAAGCTCACTAGAGCTTGCCATGAATACAGACACCTCAGTCACAACATAACCACACACTTCCCTGCCCACCAGCACAGCCTCAGGCTGCTTCTCCTCTGCTGCCCAGAATGAGCTGGAGTTGGAAGGAAAAGAAAGGCAAGAATGACATTTTTGACCTTGGGAGCAACCTGCTGAGCTCTGCCAACAGCTCATGTCTACAAAACAGCTCTCCTGGGATGTGGGATGGAGCTGAAAAATAATCCCTTCCAGAGCAGTCCCCAAGGCATGGGGCTCGTTGAGATGCCATTGCTTGCGACTTTTCCATGTCCTCTGTACAAACCATGTTTCACATTCAGAGCAAATGTTTAGTGAAGGCTTCATGTGGGACAATGATCTCCTGCCAAATTCCAGCACTTCTTTGGACACCAAAGATAGATTCTTGCTGTGAGGGAAAAATGTAGCCTTCAGTATGTGGTAAAGTCTGTGTGTGTGCTGTTCTTCTTAACCCAGGGTGAAGCTGATGGCTGAAGTCACTGGCAAACCTTGCTGAGTTGTAGCCCTCCTCTGCCCCATGGCACCACCACCCTCTGTAAGTACTGGTTCTGCCTGTGGACATGGATTTAGACCCTCAATCTCTGGGTACCTGCACTGCACCCAGTTATCTGCACTCCCTTTGCAGAATTCATCCCCCTCTGGGGCCCTCAAAACCAAATGAGACAGTCCAGGCTCTGGCAATGCCTGTGTTTCCTCCTGGGCCATGCAGGCAAGTTAAAGGTAGCCAGCTCCTGGCTGGGATCTCACACAGGGTGAGCTGTACCCCAGTTTCTCTGCACAGAACCTTCTCTGTGACTGCTCACAATACTGAAGAGCAGTGCAGAGCTTGGCACTTTCCCTAACAGGTGGATCTTTATGGAATAGGTGAGCTAAGGGAAGTGAGAAACTGTCCAAGAATAAAACCAATCTGTCAATCACCCAAGAATGGTTCTGTACTCTCCTAGTCCAGTATCCCAGGCATTAGAGCATCCTGCTCTAACTGAGGCAATTTACACACAACATCACATTATTAACAGGAACCAGAGACAGCAAAGCCTTCTCGAGTCACATACACCACCCTGCCAAGGACACAGCAGTGCCCCATCAGGCTGTAAAATATCCCGAGTGAGGATCCTCCATCACTTCCCTTCACAGCTCCCACGTGTGCCAAATTATTTGCACCATTTCACTCCAACTTCCGACACAGCCAGACCAAGTGATGTACCACATCCACAGGCAAGGGGGATTCGAACAGTCTGTGCATTCAGGGCCCACATTCCCTGCTGCTTCTGCTTATTTCATAGCCCTTCCTAGCAAACAAACAATTCACCAGCCCCCTGGAGCAGCCAGCTGTCAGCCAGGCTGGTGAGGAGGAGAAGGACAGGGTACAAATCCCCTTGGAGCATAGCTGGGAAGGTGATGATGATTTCCTGTGTGGTTGGTGTAAGATTCATCATCTGCCCTGCTGCAAGAAGTGATAAAAACGTGTGGGTTTCACTGCCATAGCTCTCCCAGTGTTTGGCTGCAGGAGCAGTGCTTGGGAACCCAAATTCCCCAAATCCCACTGCCCTCCACTGAGCAGGGCACAGTCTGGGGGATCCCCCCACTGGAGCTGGTCCACGCTCCACCTCACAGCCTCTCCTTTGCCTCCTGCCCTGTGGGTAGACTGTCACAGAGGGGGATCTGGGACTATGTAATGATCATTTTGTGCAGGAGAAAAGGTCTCCAATTTGGTTTTTCTTGCTGATGGATAGAAAGGCTGTGAGCCAGCAATGTCACTCACTGCTCTGGTGTGACAGCTGAGCAATTCCATGGGTAGGTCACCTCCCCTAGACAGGGAGTTCATCATGGGCCATGCTGAGCTTAGCTTACAAACATCCTTAAGTCTGGCTCTGGCCCATCCTTAAGCTACAGGGCAAGGAGGAAAATTTTATCCAGCCTTGTCTGTTCAGGACATGCTGTCAAAAAATGTGAGGACAGGCCAGTGCAAGTACCAGCCACTTCCAGGAGCAGCACACACTCAACAGTTGAAATAGTTATTTTAGCCACCAACTATCCATCCCAGTCTGGACCTCCTCATGCAGTAGGATTCATGACTCGACTCTCAAATATTTCTGTGAACTTCCAAAACCTGTTGCAAACCATCTGAAGAAATGTAGTGCACAGTGTCAGACAAAAATGCTGAACATCTCTGCACAAGAGGCAACCTCTGAGGCAGTGCTGCAGTTTGCAGCTTGGCAAATGCCAGCTTAGGGCTTGCACCTTTCCCTTACAACCAACAGTGCTTAAAAACAGGGCTGGAGGAGCCCCTGGCACCATCCAAGCCACCATTTAGCTGCTTCTTTCCTTGAAGCTGTGTCCAACCCCAGCTGCATTCCTTTCCTCTTTCTCTGCTGCATGTCTGGAGGTCTGAGCTCTGAGTGTTGTATGGGAATTAAATTTTCAGGAACATTCTTATTTTTAAAGGGAACTGCTGTGCTAACACTTCAGAGGAACATTTATCATACAAAAAGTGGCTGGAGCACTGAAGAGACAATCTTGGTCCCACCCCCCAGCATCTTTGTTGCCTGCCTACACCAGTTTGGATGGTGAGAAGTAGCAGCCAGGGAGCAGCCGTGCACAGTGGTCATCCTGTGCCACCCCCCGCGGAGAGACAGCCTTTCTTTCAGCAATCCTGCTCCCTCCTGGGGTGCCCCACGATGAGAAATCCTCCCAGGATGATGAGAGACATGGCAGACCTATCCCACTGAATTTGCTCATGAACTTTTTCTGTCAGAAATACTCCTCACCTCTATGCTAGCACCAAGTTCCATTTACTGATATTGGCTTCCAGAAATGTCCTGTGTAGCAGGGCCGTGACAGTGGTGCAAACGAGACCTCCTGGCATCAGTCACAGCTTCCTCTGGTGGCCCGAGCTTTGAGCACTGCCTGTGACTTACAGTCATGAATCATCCTCCTCTCTAGGAGCTGACCTCAGAGCTGTAGAAAGCTCAGAGGACAGCTTGGGCCTTGCCTGGCCTGGTGATGCACAGAAAAGACATGTTCAAATCTTCTGTCCACCCCAGGAACAGGCAGATCCAGCCATCTGCTTCAGCCTGCAAGGACACTTTGAGTCTGATGCTCAGCAGACAATCAGGATGGGTGGGACTTCATCACCTGCATCAGAGCATCCCTGCACTGGGGTACTGTCAGAGCATTCCCAGCACCATCCTCTCCTTGGGGAATTGGCATGAGCAGCACAGGGGGCTGAGCAGCATGAATGTGTCCCATGGAGTGAGGGAAGTGCCCTCCTCACGGGCTCAGGACTAGGACAGGCAGCACAGACATGGCTGACCTGACCTAGTGTTGGGGCTGGTACGTCCCCAAGAAAGAGACCACTGAAAAAGCAGCAGCAAGTCACTGTCCCTTCTGCCACCAGCAGCTCATTCCTGCCCTCGTGGCTCAGAGCTGGGGTTTGGGGAGTGTGAGTGCACCTCAGTGGTGCACAGGATGGGGACAGCTCTGCTGGGCTGGGGAGTTTGGCAACAAATTGGGAGTGGGGAGGGGGGCTCCTGCTGGCAACAGCAGCAGTTTTGTTGCCCACAAACAGCAGCTGAGCAAAGGTGAAAGACAGGCCTGTCCATGGCCATGGTGTGTATCAGGGAACCTGGTGACCTGCCCTTGCTCACACACTGACTGCAGAAAGTGGCCCTGGAATCAGAGAATATCTAGAGTTGGAAGGGACTCACAAGGATCATCAAGCCCAACTCCTTGTTTTGGACTCAGCCACCTTAGAAAGGCAGGGCTGCTGCTGGCTGTGAGACTGGCTTTCCATTTAATGTCCAAGGTATTGTGTGAGCTTGATGGAGAAGAGGAGCTGCCCCGTGGATTCTCTCACTGTCCCACGGTGCCAGCAGGGCAGGATCAGGGCTGGCACTCTGACAGGTTCAATCATGTTGTTCATGGCCCTCTCAGGACTGTGTCTTTCCTCGCAGGAGCAGGGGTCAGTTCTCAAAGCAGGATGTGGGCAGGACCCTGGGGCTCCTTCCCAGCTGAGCAGCAGGCTGGCATTAAACTCCAGTGTGGAGTGATTCTGAGCTGGGTGACAAGCCAGCCACAGCAGAGTCTCACAGGACTTTTCTGGAGGTGCTGTTTTGTGAAAACACCTTGGCCAGACTTTGTCTTGAGCCCCTTCATGGATCTCAGCCCCCCTGCTCTGCCCATAGCCTTGAGCCATGAAGTGATTTCGCTGTAACATGATGTCTCCAGGCCCATGTTATCCTCTGACAACATGACCTGGGTGGGACCTGTGTGAGCAGAATGAAGCTCAGAGATGAAGCTGGAAATAGCTGCTCAGCCAGGACAGCCATGGACAGCCCTGGTCAGTCCTTTCCCAGGTGGACACTGCTTTATCTCTGCCTGTGATGTCACTTCAGAGCTGGGAGCATTTTACTTCTAACAGACAGATGTGCTACAAATGTGTAGCAAACTTGCATTGAAAAATCTCTGCATGGGCGAGAACTACATTTCTAACCCCAAGTCCAGGTCTTCAGGTACCTTGGAAGAGACACTAGGCTAGCACAGCTGGCTAGCAAGGAGCCCAGACCACCAAATGGGCACAACCAGCTGTGAAATCCCCGTGAATCCATCAAAATATGCAACCCCAAGCTCACAGTGGTCCTGAGAAGAGGCTTTCCCCTTGGAGCCACCCCTTCAGCACCCCATGAGCAGATGTCCCTGAAGCACAGTGAGGTCTGTTTCAATCTGTGCTACAACACATGCCTGACTGACAAAGGAACATCTGACTGTCCATTAAAACACAGAGGGATAAGATGCCAGAAAAACGAAAGCACAAACTGATCTACACCAAGTCAGTGTTTTCTGAAAACTTCACAAAAGTCTCATCAGTTACAGCAAGGCCATGGTTTGAACACACACACACTGACTGTGACCTGTATGAGTTCATGAGCTGAGAGGAAACACAGGCACATGCTTTATCTTTGGACACCAGGAAAATCAAAATAAAGGTTCTGCCAAAACGCCTGGCCAAACACCCTACCAAGACCTATTCTCTTCTGCCTTTATTGACCTGCTGATTTTGGTCCAAATCACTCTCGCCACCGGAGGCAGACAGAATAAATTCCTCTCCCATCTCAGTTTCATTCAAGTCCTATGTGCAAGCATGAATACTTTCCTCCATGGAGCCAGGCAAGTGTTCTCTGCAAACCCACACCCATATGTCCACAATTAGGTCTTGGTACCCCATGCCAAGCCATGCAGAGCCTTATTTATAGTGTTAAACTTTCACTTCTCACCAATTATCTGAATTACCACTGAAGTTAGGCAGATGTTGGCCTTGCAAGCTTTTTCCATTTAGCTGCAAAAAAAGGTCAGGGCTAAGGTTGGATCTGCATTTGTCAGCTTTGTTTGCTTTGTTCGATGCCAACGCTTCTCCACTGCTGGAGAACAATTGGTTTGTACTCAGAGCAAGAGATCACATAAATGATCATCTCTGGGAAGAGTTAAATGTGTTTCTGGAACAGCACTTAGATGTCCTGTTGATTTAGTGCAATCCCATTGATAGTTGGATTGTATGGGACAGCATGGCAGACTTGAAGAATCATCATTCCTGCAAAATTTGTCAGGATGACCTCAGATCAGAATATTTATGTTTGGTCAAACAGACAAAATAAAGAGGCACACAGATCCTCGAGGAAGGGAAGCAGGACCCTGCAGGACTGCAGCATGGTGGTGATTTTCTTTCCTCTGGAGCAGTTCCTGGTGCCTGGCACTGGAGTAGCCACTGTCCCTCCTCATGGCACAACTGTGCTAGTCCTTCACTGGGACCACTGGAGAGACAAGAACAGGAGAAACCACTGTGGCACTCGAGGGATGATTGTAGGGCACATTGAGAAAAGCCACTGCCACCACCACAGCAGCCTTTCCTGGATAAACACACTTTTGCTTGCTACTGATGCTTTCAGATGGAAGTGAGGGACAGGAGAGCTGCCCCTGGAGCCACACCAGTGCCACCACCTTCTAGCTGCCACTTCCTTGCTCCAATTTCTGCCTGGTGCATAACGGAGAGATTAAAGGGATTCTGGGAGGAGGAAACAAGTAATGCATCTCCAGCTTCCCTGAACACACATAGCTCCTTCAGCTGCTTAGCCTATGCAGGCCAGGGAGAGACAGCAAAAGTTTAGTTATTAAGATTTACTTCAGCCCTCTTTAATATTGGCCTGGAATCCTTCAAAAGGGATTCAGGCTCATCATGAGTCATGGAGCACAGCTAATCCTTCCCAAACCTGGGGAGCAAACAGAGCCTCACACCTGCGGCTCAAGAGCATTCCCAAAGCCATGGCACAGGCTCAGCCTGGCTCCTTGGGGCTTGGCATTTCGGGGCTGAGCCCTCCTGCCTCTGTGCAAGCTATACAGCTCTGGAACTGCTGCTGTCCCCTGTCACAGCCCCTGAGCTCTGCAGGATGGTGTGGGGCACAGCCATGGGATGTTTGAGACTTTCAACCCTCTTCCAAGTGAATGGAGGATGGTAAACCAGAGCTCTGCACCTCCTGCCATCCTTGTGGGCTTTACAGGTGACAAAGCCTGCACGCAGAGCAGGGATGCCACAGGAAACTGTGCCATAGAGACCTTGCAAATAAAAGTGATTCCGTTAAATGTTAGCTTTTTCTTCTCTGTTGCCCATGTTATTAAAAATCCAGCACAAACTGAAAGCAGTTTTACTGACTTATTTGGGTTTCTCAGCATCCTGGCCTCCTCCTGCCTCACACGCTGTGATAACCAGGGCTGTGCTGTGGTCATGTCCCATGTCACCAGTGGTCACAGCCATGGGGACAGCGAGGTGCAGACATGCATTTGGGATGTTGGTGAGCCCAGCTCCAACAAAATCAACAGGCAGAGAAGTCTTGTCAAATGAGAAGCCTGCCTTTCACCAGGCCATAGCAAGGGATAGCACTTGTGGGAATAAATCATGAAGCAAAGAATGCCCCACAAATTGACTGTCCTAGAAATGCTGAAAGGCACGAGAATTTATGGACACAAAGACCCACAAAGTTTACTTTTCCTGGAGAATCATTTGAAAAATATGTTTAGAGAGCCCACTGTTGGTTCCATAATAAAACCAGCTTACAAATAAACCAGAAATGAGCCTTAAAAACAATCTTGGTTCATTTGAAAAGAATGCAGGGACAATGAACAGCCCGTCCTCCGCTCCTCAGGGAGGTGGCAGTGTTGCTTTGTACATGCTGGAGGAATTGTTACAGACTGAGATTTTTTTCAAATGAACAGCAGTGTACCATAATATACCAACAAAATTTAAGGAATGACTTAATCTAATGAAATGTAAGATCAGAGCGATATGGAAACCACACCAAAGACCTGGACCCAGGCTTTGTATAATTGAGCCAGACTAGGACACTTGTGTTTGCTCACACACTCTGGGGTTTTCAACCAATTGCCAACTTTGTATTTGCTGAGAAAACAAAGTTTAAGTTGACCACCCAGCTATCTAAGAGATCCTGATAACACCACTCATGTCTCCCATCAGTACCATAAATCTCCCGTTTCATTATCTACAATGAGTAAGGAGGCAAAAACACACACGGCGTGGGTGACATGCCAGACCGGGTGCATGTTCCAACGTGACTGCCCTGCCTGGGTTTAAAGCATCCCGTACAGCACATGCGACTGATTTATCTGCACATCCTCACAGATAATATTCCCTTCACTTCTGGGAAGGTCAGAGAAAGCACCTTGACAACTTTTTTTGGCATTGCTGTTAAAATTTGCTGTGATCATTAAAAAAACTACAAGTCAGGATACCCACTCCCAAAGAGAGCATACTTACTATAGATGCAGCCAGTGACTAAAGGCATGAACATCCAGCAGAGGGGCTGATCTAGAAGCCACTGTCCCATAGTTCACCTTCACTCACCTTCACTCACTGAACGTCCTCGGAGAAGCCCCTGCCTGGTGCTTCCCCTGACTTAGGAGCTGCAGGCATGTTTAACTCACAAACCCTCCGCCAGTGGCAATCAATTGTGTGCCTCTGGTTTTATTTCTCTGATGATGTCACTTTAAATACTTTTCATGTTCCATTTGTTATTTTTACTTCTAAAAATGACGCATTTCTTCAAATTCATTTTTCTCCAATTAGTCACAACTTAATGGAACAAGCTCGGCTGCCTGCCTGTCAGAGAGCGTGTCAGGCCCGTTCTCTCCGTGGTTATCCCACACAGACCCGCAAGAGCACCTGGAATATAGGGACGGCACTAGGCACCTTGTTTATCCCAGATGCCCTTCTGGCTTCCTGCCCAAATCCTTCGCAGCAGGGCCAGAGCAGGAGAGCCGCGAATTGCAGTTTTACCAACATAAAACACAGACATAAATCAAAGACAGTGAAAAACCAGGAGTGAAAACAGCAAGAGAGAGGAAGGAAGATGCATCTCTGCACTTGTGGAACAGCCTCTGTAAGAGCAAAGCCGTGACAGCTCTACAACCCCTCGAGCCTTTTGCTCACATGCTGCTTCCGAACATTTAATGCAAAACAGTCTGTGGCTACGGCTTGACAGAGAGAGAAGTTTTAAGAGAAATCTCAAGGTTTTCCCTACCTGATCTGAACTTGCTCCGAATCAGCAAGGAGTGCTCAGACCCCAGGAGTGTCATGGTGACTCAGGGACCAGATCCAGACGCCCCTCACTTAAACCATTAACTTCCTCCACAGGGAAAAGCCGACCAAAGCGTGGCTGGTGCTCAGGATTCATCCAGCTCTCCTGGACTCTCTGGGTGCTTTTACAGCCGGCTGGCAAGGAGCAGCAAGTGGCTTTGTAAGATTTGGTCCCATCCAGCACTGACCCCGCACAGACACCAACTGCTCCCCCTGTGCTGTGTTGAACTAATTAACGTGGAGCCAGCGGGAGCCTCCTCCCGCCCCGAGTTTACTACCAGCAGCTGGGTGTCCTGGCTGATGTCATCGTCTAGCGGGGAGCAGCGACTATCGGAAAGGGTCTTAGCAAAGACAGAAGTTTGATATCTGATCCTAATTACTACCGGCCGTACGCAGCCAATCCGGGCGCTCCCCGTCTCAGCCGACTTTGGGAGCCGCTGGAAATATCAACAGAGCCAGGGCTTTAACTCTTTGCAGCGTGGTGGGACACGGGCCCCGCACCTCGCGGGGCTGGGGGCTCGGCTCGCAAAGGGGAGGGGAGGGCTGGGGTCGGGACAAGTGTCCCGGCACAGGATGGCCTTGGGAAGGTCACACCTGAGCGCTGCCTTGGGTGCCATCCCCGACAGGGGGCACAGGACGTGGCTGCTGTGAGCACGGATCGGGGTGAGCACGGGGCTGCTCGGGGGTGGCACTGCTCGGGGGTGGCACTGCTCAGGTGTGGGTGTGGCACTGCTGACGGATGGCACTGCTGAGGGATGGCACTGCTCAGGTGTGGCACTGCTGAGGGGTGGCACTGCTCGGGTGTGGGTGTGGCACTACTGAGGTGTGGCATTGCTAGGATGCGGCACTGCTCAGGTGTGACACCTGGATGTCCCTGCTGCCGCACAGGTGTGTCCCGAGCTGTGCTGCTCTGCTCACACCTTTCCCAGCGTGGGGCTGTATCCAAGGAATTATCCATCTGAGATCTCCCATGTGCTGCAGGAACCCAGAACGTGTTCTCTGTGCTGTGGCACATGGGCACGGATTTGTGAGGACCTTGGCTCAAAGTTTCCTGTGCCACAGCAATCCCAAGGAGGCTGAGGACAGTGTTGTAATGGAGGATCTCTCCCCACCTACCAAACACGCTTTCAGAGAAGAGAAGCTGATTGCAAATACACAAAATAAGGAGAAACAGACCCTTTGAGGCTCCCCTTCCCCGAGCCCACATCTGGTTCACTTGAGGGGATGATCTGCTGGCAGCTTCTATTGTGCAATGTAAGTAGTTCAAGCCAAGCTAAGAAGCTAAGTCGAGGACAGATCTCAGCTTCCCTGACGTGTGGGTCTCACCTAGGAAGCTGCCTAAGTTCCCTCTAGGTCATAAAAATACTTCAGGACTGGTTTAAAGTTTTGTTGGGATTGTTTTGGGATTTTTGTGTGTATGTTTTTGGTTTTGTTTTTATTTTTTTCCCTCCTTCATTTTAATGCCATCGTTTCTGGGAAGTACTCCTAAACAGTTTGCATTTGGGATGGGAATTTCAGGGCTTGTACACCCCAGAGGCCCTGATTCATCAGTGGCCCAGTACAGCAGAGAACTGGAGTCTCTCACCCTCATGTAGTCCATGTGGCAGAACTACAGAAACACAGAATCATTTAGGTTGGAAAAGTCCTCTAAGATCATCAAGTCGAGCTGCCAACCCAGCACTGTCAAGCCCACCATTGCCCACATCTCTAAGCAGCTAATCTACACATTTATTGAACATTTCCAGGGATGGCCATTCTACCACTCCCCTGGGCAACCTGTTCCAATGCCTGAACACTCTTTCAGTGAATAATTTTTTCCTAAATCCTGGCACAACTTCAGACATTTTCCTCTTGGCCTGTTGCTTGTTACCTGTCAGTTGAGGTTAATGAGGCTGTTCTGAGCTGAGCTCCCTGCTTACCACGGGCTGGATGGGATTTCCTGCTCATGCTACATCTCATGAATTGGATTTTCCTTAATGAGTGGCAAGGGAGGGATGATTTAAATAAATTGATCTCCAAGCACTAGGCTGAGCTGGTAAACAGAGTTCTACTTGTTTAGCAAGGTGGCCAGAGTCTTGTTCCTTATTAATTTTTCCTTATGTTTAGTCCACTGTACTTGAAATGTCCTCTCTAACGGAGTTAACATCACAATCACAACAACAAACAAACTCCACCACTCAGCAGAACCATGCCATGAGCAGCTCAAGGACAAGGCAGGACTCACTGACACCCTGTGTCTCAAACTGCAGGGTTTTGTCCTTTTTTGCTTTGCAAACTCCTGTTTGATTTACTGCTTCTGCTGGCCAAAGCTCCACTCAGGTAACCCTGCTCCCTTTGGATTTTCAATTCCTTCCTTCCCCAGTGGGGGATGGAGATACATCTTTCTTAGGAGGTGGCACAACCTATAATTGTTGACTCATCTCAGCAAATTGCTCAACTGCTAAACTCACAGTCCAGAGCTGGTGTTTCCCTGTGATGTTCATTACGTGACAGTCAGCCCTGACCACGTGTACTCTTGATGTCCTCAGGGAATAGGAAAGTTGTCTCTCATAAACCTCAGAGCCAAGGACAGGACTGAGATCCCACCTCAGATACTGAGCCATCTGCCTGGCTGCTGCCTGCTTCAGGCAGTCCAGAAATATTTATCCCCCCACAAGGTCTTCATGAGTTTCCAGAGTTGCCATTGCCCAGCTCTCATGTCTTGGCCATGTCTGCACTTTGGTCAGTGTTCAGCTCTGAAAAGGGGCCTCACCACCAGCTGCATCACCATTTCTGGTGATACAAAAGTCCCTGCAGAGACCACAATTGATTCCCACTCTCCTGTTCCCAGCTCTGCTATAAGCAGCTCTGTTGTAAATGGGGTCATCTTGACTGGTGAGTGAAAGAGTGAGCCTTAAATACCAGAATAAATTTGTCATGGCAGGGAATTCCTTTGAACTGCGACGTCACAGCCCAGAGCCATAAGGATATCAGCTATCAGCTCTGTGCTGCTCACCAGATCCCAGGAAGCCATCCCTTCTAATCTTCCAACACACCCTATTGTTTGTAGGGCTGATTTGTTTTAAAGTAGATTGTTTGTTTGTATGTAGATTTACAACTATGGGGAAAAGAACCAAATTGAGCTGAAGTTCCAGTGAAACCCCTATGGGGACTTAGAGGGGTCAGTGTATGACAGTGTCTGTGCCAAAGGGGGGTTTCCCCAAACCTTCTGTTCTGCCAGTCATGTCTGCTCAGATTGTCCTCTCCTGTGGCAATGAGACTGGCTTGTCTTTGATTTCTTTATTCTAGCACTTGGCAGCTCCATTTGGAAAATACCCCTCCTGCCATGGCCTTATTTCTTGAATTTTCATGGCATGCTCTGGAAAGACAGATCTGATGGTATGAGCTCCCAGCCCTGACCCCCCCATCCCGTGTGTAGACTAGTGATAATTTGCTGCTTGCTTGTGCAGCTGTGGTTTGCAAGGTCCCATGGGGAGGGACAGCTGCACTGGCACACAGCTCTGTGCTGAATGTCCCCAGGCTGGCATCACTCTGAATCCTGAAGGAGTGGGAAGGCTGGAAAAAGAGTTGCCTTTACAAATATGTTGCTCAGAAGGAGTGCATTCTTCCATTCCTACCCAATACACAGTACAGAGCAATAGCCAAGGGCAGGTATCACATGGAAATCACTAGCCAAGGCTCACAGGCAACTCTGGACATCCTTTGAAGATGCCTACTGCCAGGATGTCATCATTGTGATAGAGAGTGGACGAAGAAATCTTTCCCTGAGAAAGAATTTTCACTGAACTGCCCATGAGTGGATCTGAATTCAGGGCAGAACCTCCTGCTCTGAGCTGCTCCAGCAAAGCTCCAGCCATGCTGTTCACCATGGCCTTTAGGAACCTGAAGAGAAATGATCTTTTCTTTGCATGCCTGAGACTTACCTGGGGGTGAATTGCATAGAAAAGAGCTCCTGTGGCTTTCACATGGCAAACAGTCAGGATATTTCTCTATGACCTGGGACAAACAGAGGCTTTCTGAGCTGGTGCTAGCGAGGCAGCAGTGACAGTGTCTCTGCCACTGTGAAGCAGAGGTGGCCTCTAGGGACTAGCTCAGAAGGATCCTGGCTGTGTCCTAGCTCAGGACATGCCCAGAGCATGGTATTTTCTTTGGTCAGGGAGCTGGGAGTAGGGATGGTCCAATCCTTCGCTTCTGATAGCACCTGGTAAGAACCATCACAGCAGCATCCCACTATCCTGAATTTGCCACTGTCTGCCAGGCTTTTAAGTGATCTGTCCCCTCCCTATCTCCTCACAGAGCTTGAGGGCTGGAATTTATGGCAGAGATGTCATGAGCTCTTCCCATTCCAACAGCAGACAGCCTTGCTTGAATTGGAGCTGTGAACTATTTATCAGCATCCAAGCAAGGTTCTTCAATTGATGAAGGTCTAGAAGATATTATGCAATTGACAATATGAACACAAAAATACTTCTGCACTTTGCTAAAGCTACTATTAAGCTGCCTGATGTTTTCATCATAATATTTATTTCTTTGGAAATACACTAAATTCTCCAATCCCGACTCAAAACAGAAAGATCAGAGAATGAAAATAGGGAGATGACATAGCTGTTTAAAGATTATGTAAAATGTTTTTTACTAGCATAAATATTTGATTGTAAAACTCTGGCTGTTGTGTTTACCGAGCAGGGATGTGCAGAGAGCTGCCACAGACGGGCACTGTGCTGGAGGCTGACCCGTGTGCCATGTCCCGTGTCCCATGTCCCATATCCCGTGTCCCATGTCCCATGTCCCGTGTCCCATGTCCCATGTCCTGTGACCTGTGTGCCATGTCCCATGTCCTATGTCCCATGTCCCATATCCCGTGTCCCATGTCCCGTGTCCCGTGTCCCATGTCCCATGTCCTGTGACCTGTGTGCCATGTCCCGTGTCCCATGTCCCTGCCTGTTCCTCCCCGTGTGCTGCAGGCTGCAGGGACCCTGGATGCACTGGCTGTCATCCCTGACTGCTGGCTCTGGGCAGATTGTCACTCCTGACACACAGACTGGTCCTCCAGCAGCAGTGGCTGCAGCCACTCCATCAAGCCCAGGAGCCTCAGGACAGAGGGCACAGAGGATCAGAGCAGGTGAAGGAAGAGTTAAGGCTCAGGGTCTGAGGCTGGTTTGAGGGAGGTCAGCAGCAGGGGTGATGCTGTCCATGGGGTCGCTGGCTGGAGCACAGTGCTCAGGTCAAGTGGGCTGTGCTGGCAGGAGCTCAAGGCACTCAGGGATCTCCTCTGTCCCATGCAGAGCAGGGGGAAGGGCCAGGCCCGTGCTGTCCAGAGGAACGGGGTGTGGGATGGGAGATACCAGTAGCTGCCTCCTGACTCATGGCTGTGGTGGGACACCAAGGTCAGGGCTCTGGCCTCGGTGGGAGGTCCAGG